GTTGCTTACTCGAGCACGGCGAGCAACAATCTCCATCTCCAAAGGCGACAAGCGCTCCACCTGCACATGAAGCTGTTAAACTTGTGGATAAGCTGCCTATATCTCAATTTATAGGTTTTTCTAATCAGATAGTAACACGCATGATTACTGGCAGTCCCACCGCGTAGTGGCTTCTTGTAGCGTGTAGCCAAACCAAGGTGTAATTACATCGTCTTGTGTTGTATGGTTACAAAATCTTGTGTGACCCAACCCCTTTATACCAAGGCACGTGTATCTCTGTTACACTCTCCCCATCAAAATTGTTGATATCCACATTTCACATTAAATTATCGCTTCTTACGACACTAGCAAGTCTAAGACACCTTTACGTCTCCAGGACCTTCTTCACGCATTCTCTGCGTAAGAAGCCCTGCGTCTATGAAACATAAAACACCCAGCCACGCTGGTCCCTAGAGCGGCCGCAGCTTTTTCGTCTCCCGCACGCGTTGCAACTTCAGGCAGTTCGTCCGCGTCTTCAAGGGAAGCGCATTTCTAGCCCTCGGCAACCGAGCGCCACACACCGCGCCTGCCACAGGCGACGGATAACCTCATCGAGTGCTCCAAGGAAGTCGACTACGAGTCGGATACTCCTTTCCCAGAATGGGGGTGAAGAGGAGAGCGAGGTGTGCTAACGGCGCGACGCGAGCCCTGCTCGAACCTTGCGGACACTGTATCCGTTTCCTGACCTCTAGACCTCCGAGATAAGTGGTATTATTACCACTCGCCTTGACGAGGCACAGGAGCAGTAGTTGGAGGCTGCCCACAGGGCGGCTCTCATACGTTCACATCCATGGTCAGTACTAGATTTTCGTGTGAAATACGGCTTCCGCTCTGCGGATCCCGCTACAGAAGCGAAGGGCGCGATCATTCGATCGTTGGCCGTCTACGTAGTCGGGCCCCAATAGTTGAGCTTGGCCAACAAAAAGCTCTTTGAGCTCGCTTCTTAGTACCTCAAGAAATCCAAATGGATAGGGACCGCGCTCGACTTCGCGCTCAAAGAGGACGTGCTCACGTACCCGCAATGTGGATGATTCCTGTTGTGCTCACTCCTGGCGAATCCTCTGCAGATGATGAAGAACTTTTGAGCTATGGATGCAGAGGCACCGAAAACGTCTCTCGCTGTCTAACATACAGCGGTTTCACAAGGAGGTGGACGTGTGCATGGAACGCCATGTTCGGTTCGAGGTTGCCAACGCAACGCCGACTTCGTTCGTATTGTCACCTACGACGTACGGATTAATCAATCACGCCCCTGCGAGCTTTGTCGGGTGAGTCTGCGACCACATCAGCTCATGGTCATAGCTTGAGCTCAGTTCATGGCCCTCCGGATTCACTGACTAGTACCGAGAAACGCGGGGCGTACGACGAGGAGCGTCATAAGCATCCATGACTTCTGGGCAGTCTTGCCGCGGTGGCATCTCAAACTCCCACGAGCTCTCTGAGTCTGGGTATTTCCGCCACTTCACAAGATACTGGGTTTGACCCTGTCGACGACGTCGACCCACGAGGCGTTCTACGTCATAGTGGACACCACTGTGTTCGTGGAGAAGAGTCGGCGGCGGACGATGACGACTTGGTCGATCGCCGACCAGCGACTTGCGATGCTCTTCGAGCTCTTGAAGGCAAAGTCCGTCGCGATCGGGGCTCCGCTGAGAATCATGCTGGGGTCCCATACCGCTGTGCGGAAGACGTGGCGAGCTTGTAGCGCTTTGTGCACAGACTGCCTTACGTTGATGACTATCGCACTCTGTCGGAGCGGTTTCTAGCCGTTAAACAGACGAATTCGTCACTTCGTGCGACGGTCGTGCGCCTTGCGCCGTTGAAAACTGAATTGTTTCACTCCGTGGCCGATCGTTTGTGAGCGCCGCCCCGGCGCCAACGCTCCCGCCTTCCCTAGCACTGGATTCAAAATAAAACACCGGGTGGGTGCGCATCCTTCTCGGAAGATTTAGCGTATTCGCAAGGCCCCGCACGGCCACGACCTTATGAGGCCCGAAAAACCGTGGACGGACCTTCGTCTTAAAGACCGCAGAAACTGCATGTGTAGGACGTTTTCAGCCTTTAATCAAACCAGGTCTCCGACCTCAATATTTTCAACATTTCTTCTGCTGCTTTCGTCTGCAATTTTTTCTGCATGTCTTGGCTATCAGCCATCGCATCGCGAACGTGTCGTAAGACACTCAGTCTTGTAGATGGAAAGCCCCATCAACTTCTTTACGAACAGTGAGAGGGCTGATATCAGCTAGCCGCTCGGCTATTCCTTCCTCGCCAAGCCCTAAATCATGGGATGGCGGTGTCAGCGGGACGGGAAGATGAACGAGCCCGTGTAGATTGGCGTGTAGTCTGCAGACGCATGCACTGCAGTGTTCAGTGCGGACTCCACAAGTTTCCGTCACCGCCGCAAGATGGGCCGTCTTGCTCAAATGGTAAAGTCCACGACACCCGTGTTGCCTGCCGAGTCCTTCGGCAGGTCAAACTCAAATTCATACTCGTGGACTGCAACATCGGTAAACTGGCCAGCGGTGCAGCTGCATTCGGAGAGGTTTGCACCCTTTAAAAACGTCTCACACGTGCGCACATACGTGCTCATCCATTTGAACAGCTTGGGCCACCATTAATAGCAACTCAGAGAGCTTTAGGTCTTCTCATGACCACTGAATCGGGTGTTGTGGGCCTCATTGAGTATACGGTACTTCAAGTTCTCATCCCGATGAGCCACAATTCGTGGCGTATCCGTCGAGCCGGTGCTATAGTTTAGCAACGTGTTTTTCAATGAATATAGGTGCAACCAAGCGCGCAGTTGCGGCGACAACGTCTTGTCACAGTTTCCAAACCCCCAGCTCCTGAGTGCCCGTAGCAGCGCTACGCACGTATCATCACCCGCGTATGCGGCGCGGATCAAATACGTCACTAACGAATCACCTCCGTGCGATGCTGGAATGTATACATAAACATTCATTGCAAGCGAATCTTGCAAAGTGTATCTTTTAGTGCTAACTGAGTTCTGGTCCTCAATTATTATATTGGTGAAGACGGTGTTCGTGCAGACCCTGAAAAGGTCAAAGCAATCGTAGCATGGCCCACACCAGAAAATCAAAGGGATCTGAGGAAATGGATTGGTTTGGTCGAATTACTTGCATCGCCTCTCGCGTAACTACGCAGACATGGTACGCCCGCAATCAAACTCGATGATGAAGGGCGTACCATGGAAGTGATCATCCACTTTTGGAAATGCATTCACTCAAATCAAGAACAGCTTGGTGGAACCACCATTGATTGCTTTGCAAGATGATACGAAGTCGTATAGTGTAACGGGGTTACATGTATCCTGGTATGAAGTGGTGGCTTACGCAAGATGGTGTGACCGTACAAAGACGTAAATTACACGAGTTGGTGTAACCACACCATCGTGTGGCCACACCGTGACAAGCAGCCACAACATGGCGGGACTGTCAGTAGTTTTGAGTATTAATTAGGTTTTGCTAATTAATCAGGAAAACTTAAGGTTCAAGAGATAGGTGGCTTTGCCGCAAATAAAACAAGTCATTACAGTTTCAATGTTGAACGGAAGAGTACATTTGCTTTGGGTTAAGATTTCGGGTACTTGTGGAGTAAGCGGATTGCGTTCCGCTACACTCGTTCTGGTTCTAGTATGGAACGTAAGGTCGGTATACTTGGTCAGCTTCCTTCAAGCAAAGAGCTACAGAAGCACGCTGCACTTGGTACATCGAACCGACTTCCCGCTTCCTACCAGTCTGCTTTTGTCGCGGAGAAACGACAAAATTCAGTAGGCACGGTTGAGCCTCAAAGAGGTGGAGGTCAGCCGGGATCAGCCTCGAAGAGCGCTGTGCTCTAGCACACGATACGTGTATAGAAGCCGGGTTACTGGGCTTGGAAGCAACCGTAAAAGGCTTTGAGAAGCCACGGTAAATCCTAATCGATAGCGGGGCGTCGGTCAATTATGCTCGACGTCCCACGATGGAAGGAAGTCAACTGTATGCTGAGGCGCTGAAAGCGCGGTTGATTGCCATCGTCACTCTTTGCTTAGCGACGGGGACATGCGTCACGGTGCCGAAGGTCCCTGTGGACCTCCGTGTCAAGTTTCTTGACTTTGATAGCATGAAATGCTGCTTAGTCTCAGACTTGGATTCAAGGTATGACCTCATCCTTGGTATGGCATGGTTGGAACACCATGAGCCGTGGATCGAAACAGCAGGTCGAAGACCTTGGGCGCTGCGCGCACATCTCCTGGTGGATATTTGGTGAGTCATGAACCCACCTCTGCTAGAAAGCAAAAACGCTACTGACGCGGGTACTGGACCGGGACGGTCAATGTGTTGGAGATCCGAGTATCCGAGTTGTCGAACACCGAAAGTGGATCGAACAAGACACCCGAGCATGGCCCCCGGGCTTAATGCGGAGTGTCACACTAAGCACTGCTCAAGTACCAAAGCAGTTGCTGCATGCCAAGAGTGGTTTGTCGGTCAGGGGGGGAGGCATCGAGGGCGAGGCACCAGATATGCAAGTTGATTGGCTCGTATTCTACTGATCACTGTTCCCGTTTCGAAGCAGTTGCTGCGTGTCAAGAGTGGCATGGTCGAACGAGATCTGAGGCTTCTTGGACAAGGCTCTTCTGATTTGCGTGGAGTGGCACGTTGTTCACTGGACAAAGATTGCGGAAATAGCAACTCTTTGGCGGATGTTGTTCATAACATCAGGGCTCCGAAGGAGCAGGGATTGGGGACACTGAACGACGCTGACTGCATGGTCCCACCGATCTCGACGAGACGAAAAACCTCTATTGAGGGAAGACGGCGAGGCCGTAGATTATCTGCAAGTCGCAGGGTGTCGACCCTTCCCTAGGATGTGTCTACCGTAGACAATAGCGCAGCTTTAATCTTGTCAACGGTATGACGGGGGGAACGGCGACGTCACCTTCGACGCTATTCCCGCGGTGGATGCTCTTCTTTAGCTGGACGAGATGTCCTTCGAAGAGTTTGGCGGTACCTTGTAGGCAGGCGAATCACCCGAGGTGGTCATTTGCGACCGAGCGAGGAGATTGACCATCGTCGCTTCTGGATGAAGCTGTCCTGGAGGACACCAAGAGGGTGCTGAACGCACAAAGTGGATCGTTGATCCTCAAGGATCATGCTAATGTGGGTATTTCATTAGGAAGCGTGGTCTTCGGGCGGATCCCGCTAAAGTCAAGGCCATTGTTGACTGGCCGGCTCCAAAGAATCAAAAGGATTTGCGCAAGTAATCTGGCCTCGCGAACTACTTGCACAACAGCGCGAAATATGCGGAAATGGCACGGCCATTGTTGAATCTTCTCAAGAAGGATGCGGAATGGTGTTAAGGCACTGAGCATCGGGAGGGCTTTGACGGGGTCAAAGACAGCCTACTTCATGCACCAATACTGGCGTTGTCAGACCCCGATGTCCGTTCGTGACATTTCGGACTTTGTCATCGGCTGTGCGTTGCTGCAAACAGACGCCGAGGGGTGAAATCGGATGATCGCGTTCGAATCTCGCCAGCTTTAGGCTGCGAAAAAGAACTACCAAGTCCACGACAAGGAATTGCTTGTGATAAAGTATACACTTGTCAACGCACCTGCTTGGATCAAAACCGTTTGTGATCTACACAGATCATGCAGCATTACGCACTAGGAGTGGCTCTCCTTCTTTTCTGGTTATATACTTTGCGGTGAAGTATAAGCCAGGAAAGCAAAATGCTTTGGCTGATGCGTTCCTAGACTGACCGGATTATGGGCTTGCTCATGTCACGATGGTGACGTCGTCAGCGACCGATTTGAATGCGCTGGTAATGATACGTGTGTAGCGCTGCTACAGGCTCTCGAGAGCAAAGAGTTTGGGAACTCGGACAAAAAATTGTCGGCGCAACTGCGCGCACGGTTACAACGATAATCGTTGGATTTCGGGCTGCTGTATCATAGCACCGATTCGACGGACACGTTACGAATTGTGTTCCTCACGATGAGGATGTGAAATACAGTACCCTTTATTAAGCCCACGACACCCCACTCATTGGTCATCTCGGTCGTGAGAAAGCGTACAGCTCTGTGAGTTGCCACTACTAGAGATGGACGAGATCCTATGTGCGCACGTGTGGAACGTGTCAAAGGATGAAACCCTCTCCGAATGCGGCGGCGCCGCAGGCCAGTTTACCGGTGTTGGTGGTTCATGAGTTTGACTTTGTGTTTGGCCTGCCGAAGGACTTGGCGGGCAACACGGGTGTTGTGGTCTTTGTGTGCCGTAGCCCAACTTGCGGCAGTACTGGACACCATCGACGGCGTCGGTACAGCGACGCTGTTTGTGATCGTGTCTTTCGGCAACATGGACTTCCAGAATTAATTGTCTCTGACAGAGATTCACCATTCACCGGGAAGTTTTGTTCGGTAATCTTCAGGGTGCTGGGCACCATGTTGACTATGTCAACAGCGGACCATCCGCAAGCCGATGGTCAACTGAGCGCGCGAATCACGTCGTTGAAGCCGTTCTTCGCAGCGTCTGCGCTGAGACTGGAGCGCCATGCTATCACTTGTGGAGCTCGCTCTGAACAATACATGCGTCTACCGGCTACACGCCGTTCTGCGTGAACGGGCTTGTTATTTCTCGCGTCCTCTGACGCCGCCATCCCATGGCCCAGGGCTTGGTGGGGGAGGGATAGCCGAGCGGCTAACTGATGTCAGCCACCTCACTGTCCTTAAAAATGTTGATGACTTTCTGTCTACCAGACTGGGTGTCATACGACACGTTCGCGATGCGATGACTGAAAGCCAAGACATGCAGAAAGAATATGAAGACGAAAAAAGAAAAGAGCAGAAGTTGAAAACTTTGGGGTCGGAGACCTGGTTTTAATCAAAGCAAAAATACTTACTACACATGCGGTTTCTGCTGTCTTCAAGACAAAGATCCGTCCACGGTTTATCAGACCTTTTAAGGTCGTGGCGAAGGGGTTCTTGTGTGTACGCTAAACCTTCTGAGAAAGATGCGCACCCACCTACTGTCTAATGTGGGCTTGCTGAAGCCGTGCTGGGATCCAGCGCAAGTGAACACGGATGCGTTAGCACCGAAGCGGAGCTCAAAGGCGCTCGACCACCCAGAAGCTGAACCAGCCACTGGTTTTGAGCACAGAGTGCAGCGACTTCCGTTTTCAACGGCGCCAGCCGCTCCACCGTCACACGAAGTGACGTATTCGCCTGCTCGACGGCAGGGGGCCGCTCCGACAGAGCACAATAGTCCTCAACGCAAACACAAAGTGCTTCAGACTCTCTAGACCTTCCGCAGGGCCTCAGCGGAGTGTGGATGACGACGAGCCATATCCTTCAAAGATCGAAGAGCATCGCGAGTCGCCGGACGGCGATTGACCAAGTCGTCATCGTCCACCACCGACTCTTCTCGATGATAATGGATGTGTCCATTTTGACGTGGAACACCTTATCGACATCGTCGACAGGGTCAGACCCAATATCCTGTGAAGTGGCGAAGAAACCCAAACTCCGAGAACTCGTTCGAGTTTGACGTGCCTATTCGGCAAGACTGCCCAGATGTTATGATCAGAGGATCATGACGCTCCGCGTCGTCGTATACCCCGCGCTTCTCGGCAACAGCCAGGGAAGCCGAAGGACAATGGGCTGAGTTCAAGCGATGAATCTGAGATGCTGTGGTCGTAGCCTTACTCGTGTGAGAAACCACAGCGCTCTCGGGAGCGTGATGGATTATCCATATTTCGCAGGGCGACAATACGCAGGAAGTCGGTGTTGCGCCTTGAGTTTGGCAATCTCAAATCGAAGATGGTGTACTACGCGCACGTCCACTTCCTGGTGGCTCCATTTTATGTCAAACAGCGAGGAAAGTATTCTATGCCACCGTCCTAATCGCTCAAAGAGCTCTTCGTCATCTGCAGTGGCTTTGCCAGGGGCGAGCACCACAGTAAAAATCCGCATTGCTGGTACTGGAGCGCCTCCTCATTGGGCGCAAAGTCGAGCGCGGTGACAATCCATTGGGATTTGTTGAGGCTCCAAGAAGTGAGCTTGGAGAGCGTTTCGGTAGTCAAGTTCGGCTTGTGTAGTGGCCGGGGGTCCGACTACGTAGACACCTAACCAACGAGCAATCGCGTCTTTTGCTTCAGTAGTGATCCGCCGAGCGGAAGCCGTATTCCACACGAGATTCTAACCCGAACGTGGATACGAGCGTATGAGAGCCGCATTTATGGCAGCCTCCAACAACTGCTCTTGTGCCTTGTCGAGGCGATTGATAATAATACCACTCCCTCGGAAGTCGTGAGGTCGGAAAGGGAATAGATGTCCGCAAGGTTTGAGCAGGGCTCACGGCGTTACGTTAGCGCAACTCACCATCCTCTTCTTCCCAAGGAGTAGTTGTCGACTTCCTCCGAATTCTCAACGGGGGAATCCGCTGTTCGTGGCGGGAG